TCAGGTATTCTTAAAGCAATTGGTCGATCAATTCTCTCTCAAAGATCTAAGAATCTTAAGCTACTTTCTGGGAGTGGAAGCAACATTTACATCTTCAGGTCTCTTCATATCACAAAGAAAATATATTCAAGATTTATTATTAAAGACAAATATGCAAGATGCAAAAGCGGTTACAACTCTCCTCTATACTAGTGAATCACTCAAGTTATATGATAGAAGCCCTATTATGGATTACACTCAATACCGACAAGTACTTGGCTCCTTACGGTACTTGGCTCTCACCCGTCCAGATATCTTATTTGCAACTAATAAATTATCACAATTCATGCATCGACCATCTGCTACACATTGGTCTACGATCAAATGAATTTTACAGTATCTTAAAGGGACCCTTAATCATGGCCTTTTTTTTACAAAAGTGCTCCACTCCATCTCCATGCCTTTGCTATGCTAATTAGGTAGGAAACTTTGATGATATCACATCTACGTCAAGGTATATTATCTTTCTTAGAGCTACTCCAATCAGCTAGAGTTCTAAAAAATAAAAGATAATCACACGATCTACAACTAAAACTGAATACCGTGTCATCGCCACCTCCGCTGTTGAACTCAATTGGGTCATAAATTTACTCAAAGAACTCAACTTCAACTCCACCGTTACTCCTACAATATATTGTGATAATGTTGGAGTTACCTACTTATGTGTCAATCCAGTATTCAACTCCCATATGAACATTACCATCGACTTTCACTTCGTGCGAGATCAAGTTGTCAGACATCAACTACGTGTTTCTCACGTGTATATGACTGATCAACTAGCAGACTCACTTACAAAGCCTCTCGCCCGCAAACTATTTTCATTGTATCGGTCCAAGATTTACATCCTTGATAGAAGCTCAATCTTGTTGGGGCATGTTAGTAGATAAGATTTTCTTAACTACACGAGGAAATCTATGAGCAGTTGAAAAAAATCCTCTATGCTAAAATGTATAAATAGCCATCAAGTTCTAAGTTCGCTATATCATGTAATTACATTTTATATTCTATCCGAACTTATTAGATGCATGCTATAATGTGCACTTCATCGTTGCGCTTCATCCACGTTTTTTCTTTTTTAGCTTGAAGTGGATGCAAGGTTCGAGGAGCTCTAATCCAATAAGTTTTCCATTTGTCGAGTAGGGTGTGACCTTTTAGTCTTCCCTAGCTTCATCCACAGGGTAGAGGAGCTAACTCGACAAACGAAAAAAGCTCTTTGGCCTAAGTTCGAAGTGAAGGTGCTCATCAATATATGAAGTGCCACTGGGATTCACAAAGAAGGTCACCAGTTTATTTACGGTTATCGTATGGTGATCTGTTCGAGTGCTCCATGACTAACTGGATCTAGCAATCTTCGAAGACCCAAGTGACTGAGGTTCCACAGATGGCCAAGTCACTCTATTCGACAATGACGACTTCAACAACTACAACAAATGGTCAACTCCAACAATCGGCAGTAGTGCTCGAGTGGAAGTTGGAGGAGTTGAGCTCGGTGAAGAGATTGAGAGAGGTCTTAAGCTGTCGACCAAGTGAGTGAGGTGGCTTCGACCAGCTTGTAATTTCTTTTGGCAAAGATTCATATTGAGGTAGTAAGCATACAGTTAAAAAATATATATTTACTACAGCTAATCCCATTGCTATAAAAAGGGCAATTGAGGCACCTAAAGTCATCTAAGCTTGTCGGTGGGATATCATCGTAATGTAGTAGTTTTTAATATATGATAGGGAGATGATAGTTAGTATTTTTTTTTTTACAGGGATTCGAGGCTGTTTTTGAAGAAGTATGGATAATTCTTTAGACACAATTAAAATTTAATATAACTTTTTTGAGTTCACTAATCCAAGAGAATAATACAAATTTGAAAGATCTTAAGAGCCTGTACCTCAGATTCAGGAGATAGTTGATATATGCATGCATGTTATATTTAAGTGGTAACATGATTCAAACAAAGAGGCCACTCCATAATGATAAGAGAAAATTAGAAAGTAATATCAATATTTATTTTCTAAAAGTAAATTAAATTATAGGACCATGTATCTTTTAAGAGGGGATGAATGTAACCATTAACACATTTTTTTCCTTTCCAAAAATAAAAGTTTCTATGTTACCTTATGTGGTTTATCTATTTTTATTATTTGAACAAATAGTTAGAAAAGACTAATTAATTATGCCAATGGATTTAAAATGAAATTAATTAATTAATTAATTAATTAATTAATTAATTAATTAATTAATTGATTAAATAATATAAATTTTAATTTTTTGTTTATTAACTTTTGGATAACCCTCTCTCCTATTTAAAGATGATCCCTCTCCCTTGTTGCTCACCATTTGACAAAGACAACCGAGCTCCCAAAGTGAGAGGTAAGTCCTCTGTTCATTTTAAATTAAATATTTTGATTTATTATTTTTTATAAATTTTAAGAATTTTAAAAATATTGTATCCTCATGTCGCATGACAATGTTTATTCTATTAGTTTATAATAAAAAAATTTTAATTAATGAGTTTTAGGATCCTTTATTTTTAATATTATGATGCATGAATTTTAATGTCATTTTTAATGGTTTAAGTTTTGAATAATGTTTCGTAAAGATTAACTAAATAATTTCATGAAATCCATCTTAAATTAAATTATTTTAAGGTTGATTTAAGCATTCTGTGGCATGTTGATTTCTTTGATGAAGCATGTTGACTAAACCATTTAATTAATTTCTATAATGTTTGCTGTTTGATTATCTTCATGTGTGTTATTGAATTAGGTTGGTTATATTAGTTATTAGTAATGCTATTCGAAAAAAAAAAGAAAAGGGAGAGTGGAATTGAATTGATATATGGGTCGACATAACTTGGTGTTTGAAGGCTAACAAAGGTGTGACTTTTTTTGACGATAGGATGTTTGATGGATTATTGATTATCTTTAAATATTTTGATTAAATTTTATAAGATATTATTGTATTCAAAACTAATATAACCTATCATATCGTGCGAAGACTTTGTTTTCCTATCGATAACAAATATATCAATGTTGATAAGTTGATTTTTTTTTAGAGATTAATAGACTATCACACATGACTAAACATCCAATCAAATAAATATATGACATAATTCTATCAGTCATTAGATGAACGAACATAAGGCTCATCTCAAATCTTCATATTTATTATTAAAAGAGTACCTAGACCTATGCAAATCGTGATGACTATGATATGATATCTGACATCACCAATAAATATATGAAGTTTTTTTTGGAGGTTTATACTCAATATATTTACTAATTATTTTTATTTTTATTTGTATATTTTGAATAATAACTTTATGATAGATTAGCGTGCATTTAAAATTTTTATTTATGTAAAATATTCTGTGACAATGGTTTAATTCCCAAGATCATTTAAAATTTTTATTTATATAAAATTTCAGGTGTTATATTATTGTGTCACCAAAAAAATAAAATAAGGATGGAGGAGTCTTCCAATGGTGCCAAGAAGCAGGTCTCCTTCTCCGACCCAAAGGATGAAGGGAAGAAGGAGAAGAATCCCAAGCCACCGGCTTCGGCGAAGGGTGGCAGCGGCCAATGCGTGTGCTCTCCAACAACCCACCCGGGCTCATTTCGCTGCCGCCTCCATCACTCCGGACCCACCGGATGGAAGCGTTAGCTCCAAGTCCATGCCTTCCTCCTCCACTCCCCCGGATCAGACTTTTGTGTTTCGTTCGTGTAGTCTCTCTCTCGTTTGAATCACCGTAGTTACTGCATAAATGAATGACGGTTTGAGAGTGAAAACATGCGTGCGAATGCTCTCCTCTTGAATTTGTCTGTTTGAAAGGATCAAGTTCCTCCATTGTACTTACACTACTCGTATTCTGTGTTGGTGGGACGCATCTAATGACCGGGTTTTGCGTTGCACGACATAAGCTTTTTATTCCTGTTGGCGCTTTGATGTGATCGAGGACCGTGACACGCAGTTCTCGGAGCTGTTGTATAACATTCTGGCGATTTGCTATCATCGTTTATATTCTGATCCAGGTGAATGATTATTATTATTATTATTATTATTATTATTATTATTATTATTATTATTATTGTTATTTTTATTTAGATTCAAATAAACTAAGAATTGAGGCATTTCTATAAAAAATCTCTCTCGTGGTGTTTTTTTGTTAGAGGAAAGTGATACACCATTTTGAAAATAATCTTGTAATGTTAAATTAAAATTAAATTCATCATATGGTGACTTCGAGACATTTTAGGAAGATTTTGTTCGAAACAATGCTTGTAATGTTAAATTTGATTTGGTTTGGGAAAACGTTAGTCCAAATTAGGTTAGAAGATAAATACCGACATCAGATGAATTAGGTTGTAAATCAGATGTATAGGTGCTAAGAATGTAAATCAGATGAATTAACCTTTTAAATAAAATAATATTGACTGTAAATTTTTTAATGACACCAAAAGGAAAGCATCTGTTTTCATGTGTTCAAAAAAAAAAAAAAATTCATCCTCAATTAATTCAAGTTTTATGTATTGAACTTAAAACTTGTTTTCTACCCACATGTAAGTGATAAAGTTTTAAGAATATTAATCATATCATTTCTCATCTACTACTAAATTAACTTTTATATGAAATGGAATGGCTAAAAAAACAAAAAAATACAAAAGCAGAAAATAAACACCATCAACTAATTATCGATGGATCCTTCAGATAGCTATCAGTATCACCATATCTCATTTACTGAATTAAATATTCTCAATGAAATGGTATTGATAAAAACAAAATAAATAAATAAAAAATCATCAACTGATCATAATAGGTGACATGCTATCCTACCTAGCCGTATCTCGATTGGAGAAACCGGTGGGAACCAGTGCGGATCGACAGTGGGTAAACCGTGGGTTGTTGGATGCTGTTAGAGTATATATTCGACGTGTATATGCGCCTTTCAAGAAACGTTTCGTCGAACACAATACAGCGTTGGACAACAGCACGCGAGAGAGAGAGAGAGAGAGAGAGAGAGTTGGGGAGTCTCCGAGGGAGATGGCGGAGCTCCGCCACTCAGCTTCCATGGGCAACAGGGCCTCCGCGGGCTCCTCCCCCGTCAAGCGCGACGATCCCTCCGCCCCATTCGTCTCTGCCAGCGGCGCCGATGGCGGTGGGCGCGATCGGGACCGGGATCGCGACAAGGATCCGCACCGCGCCCCCTTCGCCTCCTCTGTCCTCCATCTGCCGCCCCCCATCCGGTCCCTCCTCGCCCTCGAGGACCCCAGGGTCTCCACCTCCACCGCTTACCGGATCCTCGTCGCTTTCCTCGCCTTTCTTGTGCTGGCTGGCTTCCTCTCCCTCCCCTCTCTTTGGAGTCGCCTGGTGAGCTCCGCTTCCGCCACCTCTCTTTTTCTGTGCTTGATCTGTCTCGTGGTTCTTGATTTGGGATCTTTGAGTCGCTTAGTGAGTTCCTCTTCCTCTGTATTTATTTGTCTTGTGATTCTTGCGGATGTTTTCAAGCTTCTTTCTGATGACAAAGAAGTGATCTTGGTCCTACAATTGCAGTGATTTTCCCATCATGATGTTCAATAAGATATTTGACTGACTATGACTGACTAGATTGTGCAGTCTAAATGACTGGAGTCTCTTTGTTTGGTAGAATGCACCTTATTTGTGCCGCAAGGAAGGGATTGTTCTTCACTGCCCTCGCGTAAGTTCTCATCAAATATACATATCTTGTTTTGTGATTGCCTCTGTGATGTGATGTAGCAAAATATCTTTCTTATTGCGATAGCATCTTTTTGATTGTTTTCTTTATTTTCCCTTTCTTCCTACAGGTGAAGGAGCCTCCATCACTTTGGGAGAATCCCTACTCTGCGACTACCTCATGGAAACCATGTGCTGAGCGCCGGGAGGGTGGTATCTCGGGCAAGTCTTCTTTTCTTTTTTTTTTTTTCCATGTGAAATCATCTTCTTCTGTGTTGATGTTCGATATACAGTGTGCAACATTGATACACAAAACGTTTTCAAGAAAACTATAGCAGGGAGATACGGAGAGATATTCTGGTGCATGTACTGTAAATCATTACTATGCTAAGAGGGCCTTTGGATGCTAAGAGTGATGAAGGCACATTTTTCACAAGGAAACATCATTCTTCCTCCGTGGTTTCAGTATTCCCTTTAAGTTAACCTCCCAGTTTATTGACTTTTGGGCAAGCTATATGCTGGTGGTGAGCTATTATGCACTTACCTTATTTAACAACTTGAGTGGGATATGTCCAAATTAAGTTAAAAAAAGAAAGGGATACCCACATGTTGAATAAAAGCAGTAGACTTCGATCGATTGTGTTTTTCTTGTGCTACAGTTGGAAGCAATTTGCTAAATTACATGCTTGTCCCCATAACAATGCCCAATTTGTAAAGTCCAAAAGTTACTTGATTGAAAAATTCTCTGCTGAAATTCATTCAAATGATATCTTCTAGATTAGATAATGTAGCACATAAATTGAACAATAGAGCCTGACAAAATATGCTTTGCTTATTTTTAATGAAATTTCATCTACTAAGATATTGAAGATTGAAAAGTTTTATAGTTATGCATTCAATGTTTTGGGGAAAGGGTTACAGCTCATATAAATGATATATTTTCATTTGCAATTTACACTTTCATTTTAAGTTACATTCCTGAAACTTATCTGATTGTTTTTATTGCTTTTTTAAGTTGATTGTATAAATCAATGTTATAAAGTATCTTTATAACATTGTTTTACCATAAGATGGTTGTATATATATCTCATATTTGTCACTTGTGCCACAATGTATAAACACATGATTGCCTAGCAGCCTAATTTTACTTTAACCTTAAGATCTAGATATTGGTGTTGAGGGTGTTTTAGTCACTGTTAGTTGTTCTCCATTGTTCATTTTAATAATATTCTGTTCTTTCTTAATAATCTTTCATTTGTTCTTTTGTTGACTAATTAAATTTGTCTACAGAAGTTCTCTTTAACTAGAAAAATTCAGTGGAAAAAAGTAGCACATATGTCATTTTCCACTTCAGTCATAAAATGGAATGACCTGCTGGATGAGGATCCTACAGGTTTAGAGAGGGTCAATGCCTGTAGCCTTATCTTGGAAGCAGAAAATATGTTTTCATGACTTAAATTCTGGTACCCAAGTCCATATTAGATGTTATAGTTTAAATTTATCTCAATATTTTCTTTAGCATCAGTGTTGTGGATTATCATTTCAAGGTTAAAGCAGCATATATTTTAGTTTATAACTACCTTTCTCATTAAATTTACTATATGTTATTGTTTTTTATATTTTTTTATAGTTGACTTCTTCAAAATTCTTTATAGGTTGTTGTTGCCAAGAATTTGAACCTCGGTTTCATAGCGGTAACCGGTTGGACTAGTACAGTAACAGTACACAGAGTAGTATGTTTAACTCATGCCACCCAGTATTGATGAATAAAATAATTGAAAATCAAATTGAACCATATGTATTGGTATCAAACTATCCATTTTGATACTGGTACTTGGTTGGACCAGTATTTAAAACCTTGGTTGTAGTGTCATTGCTCCTTTCCTCAGAACTCACTTTAATCAGTAGTAACTTTAAACCTTAACATGCTCTTCAGTGTTTGTTCCTGTTCTTTGTACTTACTGCAATTTGCCTTTTATTAATTTCTTGCTTTAGTTTTTTCATCTCTTCGTAGATATTAATTTTATTACCCTTATGCTTCCTTGGAGTGGCTTTACATTAATTTGTCCAATCTAATCGATTTAACAAGCGATAAGATTGACTATAACATGCAGATATTGTTGCATGCTCTCTTGTGTGCCTATATAGTTCTTTACATATATATGAACTATTGTTGCATGTCACTATAATAATTCTATGAAATATTGGATGTACCTGTATAGTTCTGACATGTATATGGATATACTTCTAATTCTGATGATTTTTATGTTCACGCATCCATATGCAAAATGTTTAATAATGTATGCTAATTTTTTCTTGAGAGAACATGCTGATGCTAATAAGGGAGTATGGAAATCTCTATTGGACAATAATAAATGCCACTGCTGTTTTAAGATGTTAAAGATAAACTAAATACGCTGTCTCGTGTTGCAGCCTAGCAAATAGAGTTTGAATTGAGTTTCCACTTCATACTGTCCTTATAGCCACATTTATCAATTTTATGCTTTGTGCATCTAAATGATGATACCATAGTGCCATGGTTGTAAGCTAGAGATGCATCCTGTGGTGTAAACTCTGGTTTTCATGGTGAGTACTTTGTCATACCATGAGAGTCACATGGCGTGCGTACATGATCACAAAAATTTCAGTTGTGTAAGCCAAGTTCAGTCCCATTGCCAGGATTGATATAATCTCATATGGTCACTGTCACTTTACATTGTCCTTATCAGCCACACCAAAGTTGTATACCTTGTGGCCATCTAAATGATGACACCATAGTGTTATGGTTGTAAGCTAGAAATGGTATCTGGTTTGCTAAATTCTTGCCTGCATGGTGTTATTTTGTCATACCATGAGGGTCACATTCCAAAGTTGTTTACATAAGTTCAGTTGTACAAGTCTGGTTCAGTCCTAGCACCAGGATTAATATAACATCACATGGTCCCTGTAGACTTCATGTGGGCACACATTCATGTCGCATTAGATTTAACAGGCTGATTAGACAATATGTTCTTCGATGTTCATGCACTTATATACCTACTGATATGTGAACCTACATGCACTAGCATTGGCCAGAATGTCCATTCTTTGTTTGCAACTGATTCATGTACATTTAGAGAATTCTTTTAGTTTTCTTGAGGATATGGTAGTTGTGAGTCTAAATTAAACTCGATGCTGCACAAGATTTTTTGGGTTTATGGAATTTTTAGCTTTATTAGGTGTTGCCAACATTATCTTGTGACTTTGATCAAGTTTGTTTTTTCACAAACTATGTATCTTGGCATAGCCATTATCTCTGTGGTTCTTCTGCAGATCTTCCTTCTGAGAATGAAACCAATGGTTACATATTCATCCATGCTGAGGGTGGTCTTAACCAACAACGTATAGCTGTATGTACTCTTCTTCATCACTTACGTCTGTACTTGTTTCTTTTTGTATCCCATCATTATAACGAGACAATGTTACCATGACAGTTGGATCTTGTTTGCAACATTAGGATCACTTCACATTAGGATCTACTTTGTCTCACTAAGCCAAACTAAGTCATCTTGTACAACCAGTGCAATTATAGATCTTTCTTTGAAAATGTCCAAGCCATGTTGAACAGTTTCTCTCAGTTTTTCCTCTATTAAAGCTGCCCCTGATTGTTGTGATGTGTACAGTCATTTATTTTTTCTCTTCCTGGTAACTCATGCTTACATCTATCATCCTTATCTAGGGCAACACTAACATTTTGGGTTTGTTGTTTTTTAATTACTCAATGTTTTGATTCATAATTATAGATGCCATTACAGTTGTCTGATATTTTTTTTTTCTTAATCTAGGGGCGCATATGTTACATTGATTGCATGTCTGTTCCCCTTGTCCATCTTCTTTGAACTTTACAAGTATTATCTTTATCAATATCTCCCTTTTGCTGTATAGTACATCCAATGTCCTCAAAATTTTTTCTTTTGGTGACTTACCATAAATTTCAATTGTACTTACTATGAAACTGTTGTTTTTGATGATCAACCAATTTTTTTCCCCTTATAACAATGCTTATTTGGTTGTGTCAAGTCATATTGTTGCCGATTGATCCATTGTCATATTTTCAAAAATTACAGGTGGCTATTTCCTGCACATTAATATTATTTGTGAAGATATACTACACTGTAAATTGCACTCCACATTGATAAATTGATAATATTTGGTTTATAATTTTTATGTTGCACATTGATGGGAACATGTTTGATGGTGATGTTTTTAATTTGGTTGCTTTGCAGATATGTAATGCCGTTGCTGTTGCCAAAATAATGGGTGCAACTCTTATTTTGCCGGTGCTAAAGCAAGATCAAATCTGGAAAGATCAAACGTAAGGTTCTGATGACACATTGCCTCATTGGTGGACTTGCAACTCCACTTTATGTTTGCTTATCAAGATAGTTTAACTTAGGAAGAAGCATATTCTTGCATGATAGAAAAATGCATCTTCATTTTGATGACAAAAATTTAGTTAACAAATTGATTTCAAGAGTTCATGTAGTTCAAATCAAAGATTGAGAGACATTATGATATTGAATTCTTATGAAGAACTGATTTTTAGTCTGTGCAATTGTCATTTGCTACCTACATGTCATAGTTGAGTTCTGATTTTTGGTGTTTTTAAGGATCAATGCTTGCTTGATAGAAAAAAAATGCTAGAGAAATTAATCATCTTGGTTAAATTTAATGATAAAATATCTATAATTTTAATCATTCTTATTATCTCATGCAGGAAGTTTGAAGACATATTTGATGTTGATCATTTTATTGAATACTTGAAGGATGATGTACGTATCGTAAGAGATATTCCTGAGTGGTTTGTAGACAAAGCAGAGCTTTTCACCAGTATAAGGTTTTATGCCGTGTTTTCTTAATTTAATTCCTTGCTTCATGCAAAACCTTTTTGATTTCCCACTAAGTCTTTCTCAGATCTGCATTCCACAAACCCACCAAAAAAGAAGATATATGTCTAAGAGCTCCATATATTTAGTATGCAACTCGTAAATAATTTCATTATATCCTTAACATCCGAAATGATAACTCGCATTTTGAATGAAATGGAAATGCCTTATGAATTATAATTAACTCCAAATACTGTGGGATACGCAAAGGAAACAGAAATAGCAATTACATAGGCTCTTAAATTTCAGATTGACTAAAATCCTTCTGACCTGATTTCCAAAACAGGCATTGGAGGAACTTATACCCCATGGCCCAGAAAAGAATTTATTAATAAAAAACATAAAAGCCGAAAAATCAAAAGAAATATTATAAATTGCGTAAAGATTCTCTTGATTTCATATATTATGATATATAACTTTTACAAAAAATCAAAATATGAAATATGTAAAATGTACAAAAGGTAATAATATAAATATGAAAGTGTATTAATTAACTATGATATATATTGAAAAATTAATGTTAATCATAATGTAGAATGGTATTATTGTAATAAATAATTTTTTTATTTATATGTTATAGAGAGCCTAAAACTTTTCCAATTGTAGTTTTGGAAATAGCAATTGACCTCAGTGTATCTCTAATGCTTCTCTACATACTTGGTAATGCTATTTCTGGTACATACAAAAAGAAAGGACTATATTTGAAGAAGCCACTCATATTTTTCAGATTCATTATGAAGAAATGAAGATTTTGTATTGGAATTTAATAATACCATATACTCTACTCTATTGTGTTCACTACTTTATCGTCAGCCACTTGGTACCTTTGCTTTTGTAGTAAGAATGAGATGACCTGTTGGTAGAAAAGTAGGAAACCTGGATAGTTTATTGCTTTGCTCTGACTATGATCAAACAATACATAAAATGTTTTTTTTATCTTTTATTAAGAAATAGACACAATTTATAGGTTCTGGGTTATAGCACAAGATGATGGCTGTTTTATAACTCAGATTATGTATTTTCATTTTTATATCTGCTGAAGTATGTGCGATCATTTTGATTTTGCAATTCAACTATCTTCTTAGATCAATATTCCCTATGATCACATACTTTTCGTTCTTTTAAAATTTAGAGTTCACTGCAACTGTAAAACAACTTCCATAGTGGCAAATAGGCTTTGCGTTCGATGAGTTTGTTATAGCCAGAGCCTGACTTTAAAAACTTGGTATCATGCAGTATGCCTGACTTACTGTCCAATACTAGCTATATGTAACTTCTTTGTGCATGTACCATAAAACAAAAGTTCTATGTGTAGTGTAGAGTTGATATGTACAGCCTTCTGCATGGTGTTTTTGCCCTTTTCTTCTCATTCGTGACAGTCATCCCTTTCATCTTTCCATTATCCTATTTATATTAAAAATGAATTAGTAAACACTATGGATCACTTGGACATATATATCTTATATCTTTCTTGAATATCTTAAATTATGCATTGTCCATAGTAGCACAGAGCTTTTGTTTAAATGATATAGATCAAATATAATTTATTTAGTATTCATCAAAATATAATTTATGTAGTATTAATTATTGATGGTTTTCATGACAGACGAACAGTAAAGAACATTCCAAAATATGCATCAGCAGACTTCTATATCGACAATGTACTTCCGAGGATCAAGGAGAAGAAGATAATGGCTCTAAAACCTTTTGTTGATAGGTTGGGGTAAGTTGTTCATGCTAAAAGACATTTTATCTTCAATTGAGATTTTTAATTTCCTTTTTTGCCATCTTGTGCCATCATTGAAATCTTCTTTAGCATCTAACTTTTGTGAGAATGTGCTCTCATCATGTTAGCACCTATTGATTCATAAATGAGTTATCCTAGGGATTTTTTTTGTTACAAGTCTATCCAATTAATTGACAATCTGTATCTTTGCTTAGGTATGATAATGTTCCACCAGAAATAAACAGGCTCAGGTGTAGAGTTAATTATCATGCCTTAAAATTTTTACCTGAGATTGAGGAAATGGCTGAGAAATTGGCGGCAAGAATGAGGAACCGCACTGGAAATGTCAACCCGTACATGTATTAATCCTTTCAGTTCCATGATATGGATTCAACTAATCATTGATTTTTTGCATAAGCATCTAGCTCTTTTCCGACAGGGCACTACATCTGAGATTTGAGAAGGGAATGGTGGGCCTCTCTTTCTGTGATTTTGTTGGAACTAGAGAAGAGAAAGCAATGATGGCAGCATATAGACAGAAAGAATGGCCGAGACGGTACAAGGTAATAGGGAATCTTATTACTTGATAGGAGGGAATGATGGCTTTCGTATTTACCAAATAGAACAAACTAGTATAGAGCTGGCTTTTTTTTCTGAGGACCTCAGTGCTGTCGTTTACTTCTCCCTCTTGCACATTGTTTACAGAATGGATCCCACCTCTGGCAGCTAGCACTTCAGAAAAGAAAGGAAGGACGTTGCCCTCTAGAGCCTGGCGAGGTTGCTGTCATATTGCGGGCAATGGGATATCCCAAGGAAACACAGATATATGTTGCTTCTGGACAAGTGTATGGTGGAAAGAATCGGATGGCTCCACTTAGAAATATGTTCCCTAATCTGGTAAACGCTTCAACTCTTGAGGAATATAATTTACTTTGCTGATACATTAAAATTGAAACGAAATAGGAAATGAAGCTTGGCATTGCATTATTTATACTCTATTTTTTTTCGTATTTTATGTAATACCTTCTATAAGAACTTATAGAAGGGATATCAAAGTGATAGTTTAATGTCTTTGGGTTATAATTCGAATATTCAATCTGAAACAATTGATGTTAAGGACTTCATTTGATGTGATCTTTGTCAGAAAGCTAATGCAAGAGACTGCATATTATGTATAATTGTATATCATACACGTGATTCATTGGATGTACTTACACATGTACCTTGAACTTGTATTTTTATTGGTATTTTCTCTAAGCTTGTGTTTGCACCTAGGCATTTCAACTAGGCCTTTTAAGGGGCTAGTGCCTATGATAGCTTAGACAACATTTTGACAACTTTGGTTTGTATAGATTGTTTCAGGTACCAGTTCTTAGATTTGAAGTATGTATTGCTGATTTCTTCTGTCATGCAATTGGCAGAAAATATCTAACCAATGGAGTTAAACATTGCTAAGTAATACCTGACTTCAAGCATTGTGATGAGCATGTAAAAGTAAACTAAACTAGAACGAGGCTTCACTATCCACGGAATAAATATCCATGAGGGTTTGGATCTGGCACATTCATGTCAAATAAACAAATAAGTGAATTAACTTGCTTTTATAAAAATGCAAAAAGTAAAGACCTAAGTAGCAAGCAAATCATTATTTTGGCAGCATAGACATTCATTCATTCTTCATTCAATGCCAAAACATGATTTCAAATTTTCAACTATATCCCACTTCATGGCACTAATTGCATGTACTTGTCTGTAAGAAAAATTGGCTAACTCAGTTGTCGCTGTTAACTCATGAATACTACCTGTCATTGCTGTCTAATAAATTTGTTACTGATCTTGAGCCAGTAGAACATCTTGTATCTGAAATTATTGAACACAAAAATACTCTCACTTGAGTTGTTGTCTTTGTAAACTTGTTGCTATTTTGCAACTGCAGTGTACTAAGCTTGTTTTGGTTTCTAAAATCCTAAACCTGAAAATTACTACTGAAATTAAAACACAGAAAAAGCTTAGGAACTCTAGGTTTTGCTATTTCTACTTGCAAACTAATCAAAGGTTACTGTAGATTTAGGATATTCATGTATCTGGTTTTGGCTTGTGAATATATGCAATGCGATGCTATCTTCTTTGATATGGTTTCATACTAGTTATTCGCTGAGCCAACTGTAGATGCTGATGATGCAACATGAGGTCTATATGAGTGTATTACACTGATAGTAATTCTTGTTTGATACCTAGTATTTCTCGAGAACAATCACAGTAACATCTTCAAATCAGAGTATGTTTGGTTGTACAGGAAAGTTCACAGGAAAAACATTTTTTTTCCTTGGAAATATTTTCAAATATTTGTTTGTGAGATAAACCAAAAGAATGGAAAATAACCTTCCAGATTTCTAGGAAAGGTTACCTTTTTATTTTCTGGATTTTCTCCTGACATTGGACAAAGAAAACGTATTCAAAACCTTCTAGTGGTTTTGAATGTGAATTTCCAGAAAAAATAGAATAAGTACCTTTTCCATTATTGCAAACACACTAAAAGTAAATGGAAATTGACTTTCAATTAATTTTCTTTTTCCTACAAGCCAAATAATTTTAATTATTATTCATGGAGAAATTTTGTTAACTCAATAGTTGGAAAAGTTCCATTTTAACATGAGAGTGCTTAAATATACTACAATCACTTTGTGAGGATCTTGCTGATTCTATGATATTCTTTACAGTCCACAATGTTGTCTCGTAGTTTTTAACCCAGCTCACTCAAATATGGACAGCTCATAAGCATATTCCTTAAACAAAGTTAAAGCTATTTCAAGGTATTTTTCTTCATGACTAAGGAATGCATTAAAGGGGTTAGTTACCAACTATAAGACACTTAATTTTGTAGTTCTCTATGCATGAAGGATTGTTTCATGCAGTAATACTTATTTTGATGTTTTGGGGTTAGAAAGAAGTTTAGAAACTAATGGTATTGGCAGAAACTCTCTTGAAGTTCTCTCTCTTAAATTTTGTATCTCTTGGATGCTTCCTTGAGTAGTGAGTCTTTTATTTTCAGTTCTGTATTCTTGTTTATTTTCCTTGGGGTGGTGAACTTTCTGTATCCCTTTGTGATTTTAAACTCGGTGGTGAGTTGTTTCTTGATTTTATTAAAGTATTATCGTGAGTTCGTTCCTTTTCAATCTGAAGAACTTATTCCAGCAGTTACAACTGTACTATTGACTTTCTTTCAAAGTCCATTCCGTATTATCCCGATATGACATTTAGCTCGTCCTGAATAAGGCTTGTTGTGGTCATTGTTAGAGAAAGTTATTTTCCATCATGTTTTTAGCAGCTAAACAGGCTGTAAGATTGTTAGGCAAAAATCTTACGCCATCTTGCCTATCCATGTTAGTTGCTTGTTTCAGGAAAAGATCCAGCTGGTTCATGGAGGCTCTAAATTCTTTCAGCAAGTGCCACATATCCTACTTCTTTCCTTGTAAACTTAATGAATACAACGCCATTTTCTTATTTGTCTGACAGGTCACCAAGGAGGAACTAGCAAGCAAAGAAGAAATAGACCACTTCAGGAAGCATGTGACGAGCTTGGCTGCCCTCGATTTCCTAGTATGTCTGAAGTCAGATGTGTTTGTTATGACCCATGGTGGAAATTTTGCGAAGCTAATAATAGGAGCTCGCCGATACATGGGACATAGGCTCAAGTCAATAAAGCCAGACAAGGGGCTCATGTCCAAATCCTTTGGGGACCCCTACATGGGTTGGGCATCATTTGTCGAGGATGTCGTGATCACCCACCACACGCGGACTGGCCTTCCAGAAGAAACCTTCCCCAACTATGACATATGGGAGAATCCTCTTACTCCATGCATGTGTAGAGCTTGAGCAGGGCTTGTCCTGTTTCCTACTTGTTATATCTGTTCTTTTCTTTCTTCATGACTAAATTCAGGCCTTGAACACTGTCGTTTTAGAAAGATAGGCTATATATGTGATAGTGTTAGTTCTGCAGGTCATGTTTGTTCTCTTTGTGAAAAATAAGAACTTTATTCCAAGTGATAGAAAGGGGATGTCATGAGAGGGGATGGTGGTTTCCAGGTTCAGCTGCAACCATCGCTCCTTCATAAATTTGATGTCAACGAAGTGATATATGTACATACACACACAAGGAATAATAAATACTATGAGTGTAATGATCATATACCAACTGGTAGATACTAACTTGAGAAAATTGGAGGGACTGCAGCAAGAAGAATTTACGATCGGTTTATGTGCAAAATTTAAAAGAATTTATCTAAGAAAAAAAAAAAATTACTTTACGTAACACATGAATAAGAAAGTTTTCTCCTGTTTTCTTAATTATATATATATATATATAGTTTTCTAATTCTTTGGCTTAAAAGCCTATGCTTTTAAGTCATCAAAATTCGATTCAAATGATCTCAAAATCCCAAAATCTCTCCCGTCTCAATTATTATGGTCCAAATCTTTGTCCTAACCTTATATATGTAATTGAAATTATCTTCAAAGAATACAAGAATCAGTAATATTTGGCAAGAAGCCATATGACTTAAATACAATCTTGTGTCTATTTATTCTACTTGTGCTGCTTCAGTGATGAGTGTTATCACCCCATCACCACTGTATTCTTCACAATTTTCTCTGCCTCTGCAATTGTTAGATGTTTTATACCATTCTCCCTCAACCATCTCTCATCATGTCTTAAAATACCATCCTTGAGCTGCTTCTCCTCCATCTTCAGCAGTTTCAAACCCTCGGCCAGCCTTGGCAAGAAGCCTTGAGGCCTCAAACACCATGCTGAAAACACCCCAAACAGGACCTCCAGATCACCATTCAGCCTTTCCACAGCACTACTGTTGAACTTGATACTGCTCAGAAACACGCCACTAAAAACTAGCTGGTCCACACCACTGGCCACGGCTCTCCACATTGGTACAAAGTCCATCGCATTCAATCCCTCTTCCAACTTGGAGATCTTCCCTTGGATGTAGTCCAGGGCAGTAACAAAAGTCTTTGAAAGAGATACTCCTTCAGTCTTCTCTTGCCACTGCCTCCTATTTTTCAGGTAGTCTCGACAAAGTGAATCGAAACCCCTCAGTACAACAGTGGCAATTTTCTCAATCCACTCTGTTCTGAACTCTTTAAACATAGTTATCTCTTCTTCAAAAATGCGCCTCCCCTCCGTATCATCTTTACCTATACTTTCCATCTCGAGGAAGAACACATTCTCACACCATTCAGTCAAGCCTGAATCAAAATGCCGAGCTGAATTGATGGACTGGGAGACCTTCAATAAGGCATCATCATCTGCCAGAGCAGTGAGGCCCTCAGCTTCCTGGCACCTACGAAGCAAACAATCAAGGAACTCCCTCACGATAGGAGCTCCAGCCAACCTAATAAACCTTGCCCTGAGCTCAACACTCGGCAAAGGCCGAGACCTGTCAATCAGCAAAGATAAACCCTGAAGAACAGCACCAGAAACTGCAGGAGATTTGTAATCCTCTGAGCCAGTCATTAGCACCGTCCCTTGGAACCTCGTTTTCCAGCTCTTTTCGTCGTGCATAGCTACTCTTAATTTCTCTACCGTCTCACCAAGCTCAATTTCAGCCCACATCTGAAGCCAATCTGGTCGATCACAGAAGATGGACATAGAGGAGACACGCTGCAAATTCGCATCATCAGTCAGTGATAGCACCAGCCCAGAGTTGGTGATCAGGGTCTGGATTCTCTTATCAAAAGATATCATCAAGTCAACAAGATGAAGCCATGACAACCTAGCCTGTGACGAGTTACTGCTCGAATGGCTACCTTCTAGAAGATCAACATATTTTGGAAAAATCTCTTTCGACAAGAAAGTAGAGAGTGAAGTCACCATTGCTGAAATCCACTCCTCTCTACAACTACGGCCCACAAGCATGGCCTTGTCTACCAGAGGTTGCAATATCTCATCCACGGAGGCCACAAAATCCATTGTCAATTTATAGACAAGAGCAAAAATGAATTCTGGTTTATCATGCCACTTTGATAAAAAGTGCTGAGCAGCAACCATTATTGGGTTCACTAACTCCTCTACAACCCAAAGTGGTTGGCTAAGTGCAATCTCCAGAGTATGCCCTGAGAGTTGTCGAGATTTTCTCCTTCTCTGCAATTCTTGCAACTTACACAGGGAAAGGAAGTTCTCACAGTACTTAATCTTCAGGTTCCCAGTCATCAAGAAAAGAGGATTGTAAAGCTCGGGTGATGCCCCTGTGTTTGGATGCACAATGTTGGAGCCCGAAAGTGGAGGTGGCCAGCCGAGGGATGCTAGAAGATTTCTGTGGTCAGCAATTGCCTGCGGTCGTAAGATAGATAAAGCCCGGTCAACTCTGTGATCTACAGCTGAGACAAGACGAGACCACTGAGGTCTTGATTTTGTCACAGAAGCTAACATATCCTCTATTTGTTTGAGAGAATTGATTGCCACCATACAAATATCCTGCAAGAAAGGCAGGAGAAAGAAGGCTGAAAAAACATAAGCAGTTTGAATATCTTTTACCATTTATTCATGTCAAATCTCACCACCGAGTTAGTTGCACTAGGAGTTTTAAGTTTTCCTGTAACAGAGGAAGAAACAGCATCTTCAACATCACCAATCAGTCTGTCGAGCTTGAGTGTGGTCTCTGAACTCAAAACAGAAAACAAATCCTCTCCAATCAAATATTCACAAGAATGATAAATGGTGTGACCATTTGATCAGTTTAAGTAAAAACAAAAAAAATAAAAAATAAAAATGTTAAGTTTGGTACAAACATAAAAAACTGCATGAGGTAAATACATATCCAACTTAATCATGTCACAACATTGAATATCATATGTCACATATAGAGCTACTCAGAAATGAAAACAACTATACTGGAAGAAGATCTAGCAGAACAAATTGCAGCAAAAACAAATATCCAATTTCAAGTCCAGTTATTCAATGTTATTATGTAGTGATTTTTAACTATAACATTCGATACTTTGAATCAACCTGTAAGCCATGGGCACTGTTCTTGACTAATCTTTCTCATCGAAATCATCAGTGAAACATTTGAAATGAATACGAGAATTTAGGAGGAACTTCATCAAAATGTCATCAAGAATTCACATCTAAGGGTTCACATCCACCTTACCAAGTCATGTTTTGCATGCAAATTTTAGATCTATCACTAACTACATAGAGTTGGAAAGATTAACAATTTATTTTAAAAAACAAAAATTCTTTGTTATCAGACTTATTTTACCATAAATTCGTCAACAAAATTGTTCGATGCCAGATCTAAATAACTTATGACAACCAGTAAAATTTCAGCATCTATTACATCACCGTGAGGAATATTTGACAATAAAACATCATTAACAAAGAGAAAGAAGAAGATAACAAGAAAATGTCCAAAAGTCAATCTAGTGATTCAGTGATATATGTTTGTTTTGCAATATCCAATTGACAGGAAAAGATTAAAAACCTTAAGAACTGGAAGTTTCTCTGTTCTTTGATTAATATAGTGACCTACAAGTCATTATTTGACAATTAGTTTTTTCTTAGAGTGTCGACCTTAACTAAGAACTACAATGTTCATAATCCACATAATGTAGAATTCATAATCTTTCACCATTTTAAGCATACAAGGGGAACAAACTAAAAAATATGTCAAACTCACCGGCATAAGACCGAACGGTCTCCACCCTCGCTACCTCCTTCGCGAGCGCCGGCAGCTCATCAGCCAACATCTGCTCTCTTCTTCCCGACCCATCTTCTGTATCTCCACCATCTGAAAACACATCAGTTTCGGGTGGTAACGAACACAACAATTAGGTCAATACAACCAAGAAAAATCTTGTGTTGGAATTCAGGAACTCGAAACCTTTCGAAGAGCCGCGGAGGGAGGATCGAAGATCGACAAGCCCCGCCCTGACGCCACCGAGCAGTGCGCCGGTCTCCTCCGAGCGCACGGCGTACGCCGCAACACTCCCCGCCAGCCGTCTGCTCAGATCGGCCAGAGAAGCCTCGAGATCCGAGCATCGGCTCGTGAGTTCCGCCTCGAGGTCGGGGGATCGAGGGAGGTCCTCCGGGGTCCGGAACTTCTCGGCGAGGAAGCCGACGAGCGACGGCGAGAGATCCGACGGCCGGGGCAGCGATGCTGCGACCCCTTCCATGGCTTGTCGGTCTCACCTCATCGGCAGATCAATTTTAGGGCTTGAAGCGACTTCTCGTCGCGAAGACGACGGCGAGGGCGAGGGCGAGGAAGGACCGACAAATTATGTATTTATGCGCAGGTTAAAAGATTAGATCTAGTCCGTTCATTCAGTTGACTGATCTGATCATGATCGTTGAATTAATGGCTAACTCATCTATCGGCCAGACGGACTTAATCCAATAGGTCGAATTAATGTGGCTCGACCCAATATTTCGTGACATTTGTGTATAATATATATTACAATTAATGACAACATTGTGAAACTCTCTAAATAATAATCATCGATTATAATTTAACTATGGTTTTAAAACCATACACATAAATGTATTATATGCAATATTATGTAAAAAAAAGAAACCTCCAACAAAAAAAATGACATGCAGGCTTTTATATAACTTCATCAATCACGTCATCACTGTTGGGGCTGATGGCCCATATTCAGCCCATGTGGGTTTTATCAGCCCACAGCCCACACTCCCTCTTAACATAACCCTAATTAAGATTAGGGGGTGTGGTGGCTGCGTTTTAGATGCAGATTAAGGCTATAAAAAGGCAGCAACGAGGCAGATCAAAGTGAGCCACGAGATTCC